TTTACAGTGATAGAGGTGATACCGAGTTCTTCGTGGAGTTAGGGATAAACCAGGGTGCTTTTATGATCTGTCGTAGGTATTTATTTTGGAACGTTTGTATTTTGTGAATATTGGTTTTCGATAGGGCCAGACTCGAGATGCATAACATAAGATAGGTCGTATCATTGTTTGGTAGAGATGAATGGATGTGTATTGAAGTGTGGATGATTTCTTAAGTAAGGGATGTAACTAATGTGTTATTTTAGTTTATCGGGGGTTCTTTGTTCAATACTAGGTAAATGCTGGAGCAGAATCTAAACAAAAAGGCCACGAACCTCCCGCGATCTTCCTTTTCTCGTCCGTTCTCCTCCTCTGACCTTATACGCACACACATACAGAAGCACATGCACTACACTACAACACATGCCGGGAAACCAATTGGGAGTTTAGAACTTGGTCGGGTAGAACCTCGCAGGCCCTGAATGAAATAAATCCCAAGATGGCGTATACGTCGGCGCCGGTTCTCACGTTTTAACTGTGGAAGAACACAGCCACATCCTGCGATAAAAACATGCATCACACCTACGGGACTAATGACCTAAGTAGTTGCCACGCCCGGAATCAATAAAGACAGAGTCATTTCGTACCTTCTTTAGCCTCTTATACAAATGCAGGGAGAACTGTGGTGTAGCGATCGCAGCTCACTCGCCCCGAGCACTCCTCCGTCCGTAGCATATCAATTCTCGTGCAACTGTCTGCCTTCTGACAAACACAGGTGACCCCAGGCGTCCCAGCACTTCCATCAGCCTTGTACACAATAATTGCTGGATCAACCTAGCGTGAAGTCTCGCGTGTTCTACCTGAGTATCGGCCGCTTGCAGAAGATAGTATGTATCAACACACCGTTTCTCCATAACCCCAAACGCAAATGCGGAACGAACCGTCGCCTTAGTAGGTTCAGAACATTCGACTAGTTCAGCGTATTATCTCCGCCCTTCACCAGTGCTATACACAAGAAGGGCAATCCGTCACACCCCCTGTTAGTCCATATTCAAATTACATACTTTGCATAAAAGGGCTGCTGCCACTCAGTGGGTCGAGATGTCGACTCCAAGCCTCCATAACCTCAAGACCTAAAGTATCAGAAGCACATATCACTACAACTCATCCAAACCCCTCGGGGAATTGCGATGTAACAACGCTGGTGCACGGAGCATCGCTGTAACTCCATTACCTCACCGACAAAATAAAAACGCGCGGGCGTCCCTTAACGAACGGCCTAGTGCATGCGCGCTGGCTACATGCGCGCTGGCTATTCATCTCTAGGTCATATTAATCAGATCAGATTAAGACATATAAACCCGAGCATAGCAGAATTCCCTCAATGACAAGTGCGATTGCTCTAAGAAACGCTTTCCTTGTGATTAGATCTCCGGAGAAGTATGTAAGTTTTGAATCACTTCGAAGAGTGCGTTTTCAAATAATTATCAGCCTAATAAAAGTCTGATAATTGCTTGTAAGTATAAAGATTTAAATCTCCATTGTTACGTGTATTGTGTTGCATGGTGCATGCAGCCTCCCTGAGATTTCCATTGTTATTCTTGCCTCTAACTACATCAATTCTCCCACTTAATTTCTCATTTTATCATCTACTAATATTTATGGTTGAAACTGATGTAGTACGTGGAATTTTTAAAATAAAAAAAATGCACCCAATGCGAGCTAAGAAGTGTTATTTTAATAACGACGAACGTTATTGATATCAAATTTGCTGTGTACTCGTAAGTAACTAAGATCCAATTACACGATTCCTTTCGACGAAGGATTTCGGAGTTTAAACGATTGCGCATGAGAAGTGTCGATTCTGGCGCTGCAAAAGGCTCACTGGGCATATGCTGGTTCGTTGAAATACTGGTACGTTGAGATTTCGAGGGCGTAATGCAACACAAAAGCCGATTTGGTTATTGACTAAGGTCCGACGCGAACATAGCAGTAAAACGCGAAATGCGAACGAACTGCAACACACAAACCTTCGGCTAAGCCGAAAAAAACTGAGCGTTAAACGGATGGATAATGTCTTTTTTATTTCTTTTCATCTCTTTTAACTTCTACATTTTGAGGGAATTTGAAGGGATAATATAACATTGATTTACTAAGCCATCCTCAGACAAATGCCGGTCTCACTAATCTCTTCACTATATTTAAAATTTTATAATTGTACCTTTACTATTGGAAGTTTGTATTTATTATTTAGAAGTGGAGAGAGGGTGTTTGTGAGAAGAGGGAGCATATTTTTACTTTCTCGCGCTTAAGAAGGAACTTCTTAAGAGAAGGTTATGTAACGCTGCGCGAAAAAACGGTGAATTTTCCGCAGAAAAAACTCTTATTACAGGGCCCTGCTACCGAAAAAAACGGATAAATTCAGTTGCTAAATTTAGGGGGGAAATTCTCTAACACGTGGTGTAGCCAGACACCAAGGTTTGTGGGTCCTTGATACCGAAAAGTCTATTTATGGTCTAAGTCTAAGATGGACAGACAGACAGCAAAACGTCTGTCTATCCATCCGTCCGTCTGAGTGTCCGTCTGTGAACAACGTTAGGGGCTAAACATTTCAGGCGATTTTCTCCAAAATTGATGTTCCTTGAACGATATGGCTGATGTTCCCTGGGAATGGAAATCGATATTTTAATTTTGAGGGTAGTTTAATGAAGCCCTTCAGACATTCTCCAACTTTTCAAAACATGGCGCAATCGATTTTGATTAAAGTTTATTAGTGGGTAGAATAAAGGACGTTTAAGATGATGGCGTAGATCTGAAGTTCGTTAAAAACTCAGATTTTTCGAAAACTGAAAAAATTCAAAATGTTTTTCGGCGTCTTCCTACAATTAAAATATTAGCGATAGAGATGTTTCCCTTAATAAAATCTATTCCTTGAAGACAGATTTTGAAATAAGGTCGTGTGTAATTTTTCGAAAATTTGAGTATTTTTCGCGTACTATTGCGTGAAATAAAAGCAATTTTTATTTTTTGTTTAAACATTTTTTTCCAAAAATCGGCGCCATTGTTTTTTATTTTGTTGCTGGATAGTCTGAAGAACATTTAAGAAAATGGTGCAGGTCTTATGTTAGTTAAAAACCGTAATTTTTCGAAAATTGAAGAAATTCAAATTGTTTTCGGCGTCTTCCTATTACTACAATTACGAAATAACTGTTTTTTAATGAAATGTATTGTAAATGTAATTAGTCGCCTGCTCTGAAAATCCTTCACTTTTTAATCTTAATTTTAGAGGTGTTTCGAGGCAATTGGATGCTACGTAAGTTAAGATGTGTATATTATTTCATATTCAATATTCTTTATTCGTTTATTACATTGGAACGTTTGTTATACGTTTACAAACAATTTTTTAGAAATTATTTAAAACCTATTTGAAATAAATATGAAGTAAAGATTGCTAGCCATGAAGGCAAAATCTACGGCGTGAACCCGAACTGCGGACCTCTCAATTTATTTTTAATTGACTAATGGGTGAATAATTATTGAAATAAGCGGTGATATTAGTTTAAGATTGTATATTATATTCACTACAACAAGCATGAGAGCAAGCTAATTGTTTAGTGAATGACCAGTGCGTGTTCAATTGTGGGTATCGACGATGGTGCCTGAGAGACTAGCCTCCGGCCAAGCAAGTTCCATACATGTTCAATCGACGTCGTATCAGATGTGCGTGGATGCTAAGGGGCCGTTTACATTGTAAGCGCTGTTAATAGATTATTGGTTTTACAATAGGTAGGACATGAGTTCGGACATTACCTCGGTATCGTGGCAGGACAATGTCGAAGGGAAGATGTCACAGTAAGCCCTCAACAGATCTTTGAGTTCTGATAATCAATCAATGAGTTTCTGAAGAAATGAAAATTATATTTAATGTCTCCATAAATCATGACACTAGCTATTAAACCAATACTAAGGGTGTGAGGCAGCAAAAGCTTCAATGCAAAACCTATTTAGAGCCATTTTAAAAATTCTATGAAAAAATTTATGTTAAAAATATACAATAAAAACGAATGAAATCTACTCATAAGATACATGGATGGTTCCGTAAGTTTCGTACCTGACCAATATATCGCTCCTCTATGACAAAACTTGAACTGTTTATAGTCTCATCTTCAATTGTTGTATTTCTGCAGCCTTCATCTCACTCAGTTTTGTTTAGAGAAGTATGTTGAAGTACAAGAAGTGAGTTGGATGCTGTGCGTGATATATCATGGTGTTTAGCTTCTTAACGACACTACAGCTGTGCTCCATATTTAGATTTCAAGGAATGTTGTGAAGGAATTCAAGGCGTTGGACCATTTACACTACAGTTCAGATTGGGCACCCAGCGACGTCTACCACTTATCAAAACTGAAAACAAAACTTCGGATTCAATCGAGTGTGAGGTGAAAGGCGCAGTTTTGACCACTTTGCTGACAAAAAGTCGGAGTATTTTTTCAAAGGCCTAGAAATATTAATATTCAGATGTAAAATGTTGGAGTGAAGGATGATTCACTTGAAAGATTAGGTTTTTCTATCAACATTAGAAATTAGTGACCAGACTCTTATGTGACCTATAACTTTCTATAGGTAACGTCGAAGCGGAGTCAGATCAGTACTTTGCGACTACAACTGACAGGCAAGTCATTTCACAAGAGACTATGTGAAACACTGCTGGCAGAATTCCTGTGACCAGTCACAGAAATACATTTTGGCGCAAAACATTAAATGTTGCGAATATTCATGTGGTATCATTTATGAATGGGCAATCCATAATTATCTTGCCTTTAAGTCAACTGATCAGTAGCTCCATGCACTTCTTACTCAGTATTCACAATAATGTACCCATGCCACATCCTACCGTCACCAGCTAGACTAATTATAAAACCACCCAGTAGTTACACAGTATTCAAAATCCGTGAGTTCTGTCTTTTCTATGTTGAATTGAAAACTATTCTTTTTTTCGCTTTCTTCTAAATCTTTTACAGTGAGCCTCACTCAAGCTCGGCTAACTGCCGCTGCTGAGCAACAAGTAAATCTGTCACGCCAGTACAGTCATTTTGCGTTGGCATTGCCACTCAACTAGTAAAGTTTGTTTAAAATTATCTTTCCTTCGAGGTCTTGCAGTTTTCACAAACAGCAATATGCACTACATAGCAACGGTGGCCACGACCTGCTAGCAAGCCACATGCGACTCATCTAGCGCTCTTGTAAGGTTCTTACAAAATTCTGAGGCTAAACTTTAAATTATGTAACTCTAAACAAAGAGAATTATTATAGTTAAAAATAAATTGCTAAAAACCCCTAATTTATTCTGATCAACTGGAAGACTTATTGGGGTGTATCCCATTAGAGTGAAATAACCCAATAGGTCTTCCAGGTTTTGATGTTCTTTGGATTTTTACACTTATTCTAACAACGTTTTGCAAAACCTAGCGTTTTACCTACTCAGATTCAGTTCAGTCAGCAGTTACACGGACATTTTTTAATGCCCGTACACACAGAGTGCAATGTGTGTACACAATTTAAAATTCATCAAACATCAAAATTTCAATTCATTTTGGAATAATCAGTTAGTGAGAGTCGTTGTATTCGACCATTAATTTAGTCAACTGATACTCATGAGAGTCCTATGCTATGACGAATTCCGGAAATGTTTCCCAAGATTTTGGGGTGTTTCTGAATTCAGAATTTTTTGCCAGCTAGAGAAAAGTTGGCTTCACTGAAAAATTCGCATAAAACCTAAAAAGTTCGACTTTTTCAAGTTTTTCAGATTAATATCTCAGAATTTGCGCGTTTTGTAAACAAAATAGTTTCAGAATTAAAAAAGATAAAATTTCCAAAAATATAATAACTAAGCTTTAATTTTTTGACAAAAAGTTCAGGCTCTAGCGCACTGAAAGAGAGTGACGTTAGGGCCCTCTTGCCAAAACGGAAGAATATATTCTCAACCCTTTTTCTTTCGCTTCGGCGTTCTAGCTTCCTTATTCATGTTCGAAAACAATTATTTTGAAAAAAAATAGATTGCGTAATTGAATGATTATGTAAAAGATATTGCGTAATTTATGATTTGAAATGCAAACATTTATTCTCTTTCTCAGAAATTATTCAGTATTTCCTCGCGATTAAAAATATTAATTCTTAATAATTAATTCATTATTAATTATAAATTTAATGCATTTTTAAAAACTTAAAATATTAATTTAGGTATACTAAAAGCAGATGTAGGTATTACATACATAATGTAAAATTAATCGTAAAAATAATTCAGCAAGGTCATTAAATAGAAATATTCAAAGAAGATTGTCAGTTGAAGAAACCTCCAGTCATTTTCAATGTCTTCTACATATCCTCTGTAGGCTCAATTACTGCACCCCAAAATATAGATTCAGAATCTCTCATTCAGCACAGTCATATTTAGGCGATGGTAACATTTTCTAACAGAATAATGTGTCAACGCATCATAAAGGGAAGATCAAAACCTTTAGGATGGTTGTCAAAACTAAAGAAAGAGGGGTATTTCGGTGAGCATTTTTTTCTGTCACATCAACATTTTTACAGTTGTTAGATGTAGGTGTCAAGATTTTAGTCGGTGAAATATTGTGTTTCTGATATCCTCATTGATTCAGAGTTGGTAGTTCTGGTTAATGTAAGAATTTTCTTAACAATGCCATAATTTGCCGGATGCCTAACAGTTCTATACGGCTAGAAAGAGGTAACAAGTAGGTTGATGATGATCTCCCTAGTACAGTAATTATCATCGTAGTTGCATTTAGAACAGTACCAATTTTATTTATATGTAGTCTAATGAGCCAGATTGTATAGTAATAATCTGAAGAGTGCTAAAGCTTGACTAAGGTGTCCAGATGGTTTTTAATGAAAGTTTCCTGTCAAGAAGAAGTAGGAGATACTTAGGAAACGTCTGATATGGATTTGTTCTATTAACCCTTAACTAATTACAATAATTTAACCTTACAATAAATTCGAATCTTCCTATTTCTAAGTCTTGAAGTGCTACAATCTTGAGATTTCACGTAAATTCCTTTCAGTGCAGCAACAACCTGGAATCGAGTTGGCTGTGTTCTAGCTCGAGTTAAAATTCCCATTTTTTTCGGGAACATTGTGGACCTATTCAAAACAAAGGCGAAGCGGAAGAGTTTTCCTTGCCCAAGGGAAGAAAAACAACACTTGCTTGTGATAAATTAACGAACCAATATGCAAATAGGTCTGCAAAAATGCGAAACAAGTGTTATTTCGAATGAAATTAAGAACATCAGTAAACTTGTATTACATCAATGACATGACACAATGTTACTACAATACATTTTTGTTATTTCTTACTTTGTTACTTCCCTTCCTGCTGATTTGGTCTGCAATTTTCAATACCCCATAGAATTTTAATCAAAGGCATTTAAAGTATAAACCATCTGGATAAATACAGACAATATTTTAATTTCACAAAAATTAGATTCAATATTGTTATAGCTCAGTGTGTGTTCAGGTCTTGACTACTTTACTTTAGCAATTGTCCATGACCATTGGGTGTAGCAGATAAAATCCTTTTTGATAATATTTCAATTCGAAAAATGTTATTTTCGAAACATGTTCTGTTGTTCATCGATGATGGACATTGATGTTGTTTGTTCTTATCAACTAACCTCATGCTCATCACTTGGAATTTTTATTTTTCGTATTTCTTTCTTCTTTGGGCGAAAACAAATCTTTGCTATTCCTCACTGAAACAAACTGGCAGGAAACAATATTTAGGATATTTTTCATTCGTACATAAAAACTAGTATTGTTATTTGTTATATTCGAAACCATAGTTCACAGCACATTTCAGAAAGTATTTGATGGAATGGCAAAAAATTGAATTAATGAACTATGATTTCATGAAGTTAATGATCAAAATTACGTTGATATTTTGGCTGAGATTACAAATGTTGATTTCACTACTACATTTCTTTGCCAAATGTCATTTTAATTGTGTCACATTGTCAAAACAAAATTAAGTAGGTAGGAAAAAATACAAAAGTAAATTTAATGTTATTATTCTCAAATGTTTTGCAGTTATTTAAATGCAATCTGCCAATAATGCATTGATGTAAATCGTCGGCCATTCTTTATGCATTTTTTAATTAAAATAATTTCAATATAATTTTCCAACTAAAACTGCCATCACCGTGGTGCGTTCAGTTCATGGAATTTGACATTCTAGTTTCGGTTCTCTCTGTTTACATCCAGAGGCGGGAATACGTCGTGTAACGTTAACCCCGAGCTTTGCAAGTCACGGCCCTCCGCTTGGGAATGCGCGAAATAGAGTGACACAGAGCGGCCATTTTGGATTAAGCGAGAAGCGCTGGCGCGACGGGGCGGGGCGCGCGGCCCAGACGTCGCTTCGAG